TGATGATTTTTTGGATCTGACTCCAAAGGCAACAAAAGCAAAAATAGGTAAATGGGACTACATCAAAATAAAAATCATCTGCACAGCAAAGGAAACCATCAACAAAATGAAAAGGCAACCTATTGAATGGGAGAAAATATTTGTGAATCATATATCCAATATGGGGTTAATATCCACAACATAATAAATAACTCATACAACCCAGCGAAAAAACAAACAATCCAATTTAAAAATAGGCAGCGGATCTGAATAAACATTTTTTCTAAAGAAGACATGCAGATGACCAACAAGCACATGAAAAATGTTCAACATCACTAGTCATCAAGGAAATGCAAATCAAAACCACAGTAAGATAACACCTCACACCTGTGAGGATGGCTGTTCTCAAAATGACAAGAAATGGCAAGTATTGGCAAGCATATGGCAAAATGGGGGGCCTCATGTCCTGTTGGTGGGAATGTAAGTTGGTGCAGCCACTATGAACCAGTATGGAGCCTCCTCAAAAAATTAAAAACAGAACTGCCATAAGATCCAGCAATCCCACTACTAGGTATTATCTAAAGAAAACAAAAAATATGTACTCCTGTGTTCATAGCAGCATTATTACAATGGCCAAGATATAGAAACAACCTAAGTGTCCACCAATGGATGAATAAATAAAGAAGATGTGATACACACACACACACACACACATATATATATACACATGCAAAGATATAGCTAGATTAGATAGATATACATATAGATAGATACAGATATATAGATATATCTACAGATAGATATATCTGTATCTATCCATATATAATGGAATGCTATTCGGCCATAAGAAAGTATTAAATCTTGCCATTTGCAACAACAGGGGTGGAACTAAAGGGTATTATGCTAAGTGAAATAAGTCATACAGAGAAAGACAGATACTGTATGATTTCACTTATATCTGGAATCTAAAAAAACAAAACAAACAGAGCAAAACAAAACAAAAATAGACCTATAAATATAGAGAACAAACTGTTGGTCACCAGAAAGGAGGAGGTGGGGGGAAGGACAAAAGAGGTGAAGGGGATTAGGAGGTACAGTCTTCGAGTTATAAAATAAATAAGACATGGGGATAAAAAGTACAGCATAGGGAATATAGCCAATAATATTATATCAACTTTGTATGATGACAGATGGTAACTAGACTTACTGTGGTGAGCATTTTGTAATGTAGATAAATATTGAATCACTATGTTGTACACCTGAAACTAATACAATATTGTGGTTGCTAGAGGGAGGGGGGTTGAGGGGTAGGTGTAACGGGTGAAGGGGGTCAAGTGGGACAAACTTCCAACTATAAAATAAGTAAGGTATGGGGATATGATGTAACTATGGTGACTATAGTCGACAAAATTGTAGTACATACTTGAAATTTGCCAAGAGAGTAAATCCTAAAGTTTTCATCACAATAAACAAAAAAATGTGTAACTTTATCTGGTGACTTACCGTGGTGATCATTTTACAATATATACAAATATCGAATCATTATGCTGTACACCTGAAACTAATGTAATGTTATATGTCAGTTATACCTTGATTTAAGAAAAAATTTTTAAATAAAAAGACAAGTTCCTGAATTGATGCCAGGGAATTAAGATGTAGGAGCTATTTGCGAGTATTCATCCTATTTCCAAATCTTTTTGGAAATCCTGTTTCCTCTTTAAAACTAGCTCAAGCTCATCTTTCCCAAAGATTAGCTGCTTAGAGTGTGCAGTTTTATCCTCCTCCAATGACCTGCAAACAAGCGTCCTGAGCTCTTTGTAGTTTGAATTGCTAAACAAAAAGAATGTCACTTTTTTTTTTAAAGATTTTATTTATTTATTTGAGACAGAGAGAATGAGATACAGAGAGCATGAGAGGAAGGAGGGTCAGAGGGAGAAGCAGACTCCCCGCCAAGCAGGGAGCCCGATGCGGGACTCGATCCCGGGACTCCAGGATCATGACCTGAGCCGAAGGCAGTCACTTAACCAACTGAGCCACCCAGGGGCCCAAAGAATGTCACTTTTATTCACATAAGCGGGGTAATTCCTTTTTAATGGAAACTGTCCTATATTCCATGCACTTGACATGTACTTCTCACTTGGTCTTCCCAACGATCCTCGGAAGGATCATCAACCTCTTTTTACAGATGAAGCTCAGCGAGATTCAGAGTTTGTCTAAGTTCACAATTTGGGGGAGTAGTAGAGAGCCAGTATTCAAATCAGGGTCTCTGGGACACCAAAGCTAATCTCTGAGAGATTAAGCCCATTCTCCCCGCTAAACTCTCTCTCTCCCTGCCTTAAGAGACACTGACTTATCAATATTCACTCATTTTATCACTGAAAGGAAAAATACCTCCTAAACCTCATTGCAGTGATTTCTAAGCCATCAATAATGTACTACAGTTGTCCTCTAGTAGCGCACTCTAGAGTCACTGTCACCCCTGCGTCTACTTCATCTGGGCACGGGGAGTCACAGGGGAACTCCCCAGGCCTCCAAGACTGAGTCTGTGACATGCCCTTCCCAGCTTTGAGGGACCTGTTTCTCAGGACACCGAACCTTAGAGTGGAACTTGAAGGGGTATTCTACAAGGGAGGGCTGGAAAAAGTGGACCCTTACTTTTTTAAAAATTGTGGTAAAATGAACATAATATAAAACTTACCACATTAACCACGTGTAAGTGTCCAGTTCAGGGTCATTAAGTTCACTCACATTGTCGTGCAACCATCACCACCCACTGCCAGATCATCTTCCCCAAGTCTGTACCTACTCAACATTGGCTCCCTATTCCCCACCTCCCCTCAGCCCCTGGCAACCACTTTCTTCTTTCTGTCTCTGTGCATTTGACTACTCTCAGTATCTCATGGAAATGGAATCATGCAGTGTTTGCCCTGGGTTGGGTTTATTTCACATAGCATAATGCCCTCAAGGTGGACCCTTTTATTTTTAAATAGTGAAATATAGGTACAAAACAGGGCATAAAGCCCAAATACAGGTTAATAGATGTGATCTAAAGCCAACACTCATAAAACCACTAAGCAAGTCCAAACAGGACCCCAGAAAGCCCCAGTGAACCTCGCCTGACCACAACTTGCCCCTTCTTCCATTGAGACAGTGACTATCGAGACAGGGCATTTGTTAGTGGGGTGAAGAGGTAAAGGCGTTGCATGCACCTACTGTGTGTTGGGACCACTACATGTGGTTGTGTGCTGCAGGCAGTGCTGTGAAGAGAGGCCGTGGAGCTGGGCAGTATGGCCTGGGTGAAAGATGCTCACAGGGATATTCAGAACGGACACTACATGGTCTCTGACCCCAAGAGGTTATAATCTAGTAAAATCAACTTTAGAATAAGGAGAAGATACTACTGTGCCTATAAAGAGAAATAAAACAGCCTCAGTCTGCTTAGGAAATACACTCGGCATATGTCTTGCGGGTTTCCCCATCAGGAGGAGAGTAAAGCAATTACATGTGGAGAAATAGCAGCCAAGTTTAAAAAAAAAAGAAAAAAGATTGAGGGAGGGAGAGAGGTAACCAACTGAACAGTAGGAGATGATGGGGGAACTCTTTATTTCAAAGGCTCTGTTTATGGGAGATGAGAGTGGAGTCTTATCAGAGATTGAAGTCCCTTTGTAGAACATTGCAGAACAATTTGAGAAGCCCAAGGGTGGTAAATCACAGGGAATGGGCGGCATTCATCCTGAGGTTCTAAGAGAAATAAAGTGTGAGAGAGGGGGGATTCTGACAAGGAGGTACAATAGATCCTAAGACAGCACTGCTTCTGAAGATTGGGGGCCTCTAATATGATGCCTGCCTTTTAAAAACACTGCTCAGGAGAAGTCAAGGAGTACAGGAAGGCAGACCTCATCTCCCTTCAGAGGAGCTGACTAAAAGCCTGATGTGTGCAGAATGGCCATGATTCAGGTCTGTTGGAGCATCTCTCATTCGGGAGGCTCAAACGGCTTTACTGCCAGAATTGCTTACCACCCTGCTCCGCGGTAGCTGTGTGTGCACACCGGCTCTCCTAACAAATACAAAAGCCAGAACAATCCGCACATCCCCAGCACCCTAGTGACTCACCTCCCCCATGCCCCCAGCAAAAATATGCACGGGGGGCCTCTGGTTTTAAGCAAAATGTGCTCTGAGAAACTAGATCTTAGAGTAGGTCACCACAAGGAAAATTTCGACTGCATATGGGTCCGTTCCTGGCTTGCTCTCGTGTGTGGGGGCAACAGCTGTACAGATAGTGAGAAGAACAGTCCGCGTGTCTGTTACACAGCACATGACAGCGGCAACAGCTGACATTTATCCATCACTTACTATATACCAGGCTCTCTTCTAATCTTCTTTTCAATTTTATTTTAATGCTCATGATAATCCCTTGAGGTGGACACTGTTAATCCCCAGGCTCCAGATAAGAAAACTCAAGCACAGAGAGCTGTAGTAACGTGCCCCAGACCCCAAGTGGGGTATTCTAACTTGCACACCTGACTTTGAGTCTCACACACATGGTACAGAGAGTAGCTTAGGGAATTCAGGGACAGCTCCGGTTAGGTTCAGGTCTGCACCTTCCAGAAGGCTGGGCCATGGTTTATAACCATCATTTGTCAAGGTGGATGTTGTAGGCAGCTGTCAAAATCTCAGGGTTTATATGTGATTTAGTGAAGATGCTACACCTTCAATCCGAGAAATAAGTCTGTTGTGATTCATAGGACTCAATGTGGAAGTTTCAAACCTCTGCCAATGCCTCACGCCTGTGAATGATCAAAGAATAAGTTAATGAGAATTGCTGTAAAATGCAAATAATTATAAATTCTTCCTAGTTTTAAGAGCAAAATAGGAAGTGTAGAAGGTGTGTAGTATTTAATTCTTTGTTTATCTTTAAAGCATCATGGATGCGGTTGATCTCCATGTAATATGCTTACATTCTGGGGCTCTGAGCAGCCCAACAGATTGCTTTTAATCACTGTTTTCTTTTTCCTTTGCAGATGATCATTCGCGGGTGAGGCTGCAGACCATAGAAGGAGATACCAACTCAGACTACATCAATGGAAATTATATCGATGTATGTATTTTGAAACTGTCAGTAAGCCCAACTGTTCTGACACATTCCACATTGTGTGTCTGCTGTGATATTGGTGGGCACACATTGCTCCAGCTACAAACACATAACTGTTGCCCCACACCCCACAGAACTTTATGATGAAGGCATGGCCGGTCCTTGTCTCAAGTGGGCCTCTCTAACCTTCTGTGCCTCCTTTGCCGTCCTGTGCCCCTGTGGACCAAGAAAATGTTATTTCCATTTTTTTGTCAACAACTTAGATTATTTGACACTTAAAAAAAATCTGTTTACACATTAATAGGATAAAACTCTCTAATTCCTAATTCGATGATTTGCAATCTCTCATCATTACTGCACTTTTAAGTTGCCTTCAAAGTAGTCTGCAGCTGTTAACCAGGACATCTAATGCACACAAGACATGTCATTAAATATGTAGGCTGTTTAATTATTGAAGACTGCTTCTTTGTTCATTCTGCATCATGTTAACTTAATGTCTTACATTAGAATACATTCCTGAGGAGACAGCATGTTTTCAGTTGAAAGAATGAATGAAATCAAAAGTAGCCTGAAAATGAAGGGAAAGTCATTGTTACTTTGCAGGCCCAGGCTCACATTAAACAGGCTTCAGCTCTCTTGCAGTTCCCAAGGCAGTGTGCTTGGCCATCACATTTTCTTCTAGCCCATCAGTACTTCCACGGACAGGTTTTATCCACATATATATATATATATATGGGTTCTTATATTTTCTTGGTTGGTATAAATCAGATGCTACTAAAAGTACTAGCATCATAACCAGAAGAAATGTTATTTTTAGTTCTACTTGGAAAGGTTTGACAACTTTGGTTATGGATCTGAGGGTGGGGCCTGCGGGATGACTGTTGGAAGAATAATTCACATCCCATCCTCAAAAGAAGACCCCTACACTGCTACATTTCATAATGAACCAAAACATACTCAACCCAAGTTAGATTTTTTTTCTATTAAAGCAAAATTTCTTCCTAAAGTACATTGTACTTATTTCTTTATCCAGCAGACGTTTAGTGAGTACCTTATGGGAGAATTCAGAGGTGTCCAAGACCTGTTACCTTCTCCCCAAGACCTCACAGCTTAGAAGCTAAAGTAAGAAATAATCTTCTCTGTAACACTCCTTCCCTTGAGAGATTCCATGGGAATCCTGTTTATGTTGCAGTCCCAGCTCCTAGAGCCCCCCGGCAGAGTCCTTAAGCACAGGGACATTAACCTACATCATCTTTGTATCCCCTGCACCGGGCACAGACCTGCAGTACTGTAGCACTTAATAAGTGTTTGATGAATCACTGCCTGAAGGAGTAAATGTAATCAGATTAGACTTTGTAGTAGAAGTGATTTTAACTAAGCTTTAAAGAATGGGCGGGTAGAGATGCAGAGGAGGAAAGACATAAAAGTAATGAAAATACCAGATTAATTAGTTTTAATTTTAACAGAGAAAAGAGTCAATATTCAGGGCTCCTTTATTCACTTAGTCAATAGGATTTTATTGAGCAGCCTACTATATTATATGTCAGTTACTGTTGTAGATACTGGAGTTATAACCGTGAGCAATTCAGACCAAAAATGAAAGCAGACCTCTGGCCCAGTGGAACTGGTGCTCTAATCGGAGGAAACAGACAATAAATGAACTAAGCCAGTTAATTCTATATGGTATATTAGATGGTAGTATGTATGATGGAGAAAATGAAGGCTGTAACAGGGGGATGCAGAGAACCAGTTTGGAGATGGATTGTAATTTTTGAATAGAGTGGCTGGAGTCAGCTCTACTGAAAGGTAATATTTGAGCGGAGAAATTGAAAGGTTGTGTGCCATGTAGGTATTCAGGGAAAGAGCATTCCAGACTGAGAAAAAGCCCATGATAGGCCTTGCTGTGGATCATGGCTGTCAAATTTGAAGTGAAATAAGCAGGCAGGGGTTGGTGGCATAGTACGAGAGGGTAGAGTCACAGAGAGCAGGTCAGAGGGGTTGTAGGGCCAGATAATGTAAGCAGTCATACAGATGTGGGCTTTTACTGTGAGATGGGCAGTTACTGGAAGATCTGAGCAGAGGGGTGATAGGATCCCAAAGTATAGAGGAGAACACACCATAGATGGGTGAGAATAGAAGCATGAAGACCTCCCAGGTGACTACAGAAGCAGCGAGAGAGCGGGGAGGTGGTGGCACTGGAAGATGAGAAATTGTAGGATCCTGGATCCACGCTCAACCCAGAGGCCTGGATTTGCTGACAGATTATCTATGGGGTATAGGAGCAAGAGAGGTGTCAGGATGCCTTTTGAGATGGAATTGCCATTATCTGGAAAGAAGACTGGACAGAGCAGATTTGGGTGGAGGTAGGGAGGAATTAAGGAATTCACTTTTAGATATGTTAATCCTTAAATATATGTTAGACATCTTAGTGGAAGTGCTGAGTAGGAGATTATCCCACATCAGGATTTGGGGGGTGGGGGGAGCCCAGGCTAGAGGTGAGGATACAGAACTCATCAGCATACAGATGGCATTGAAGGCTGCAGGACCAGATGAGATCACCAAGGGAGTCCATGTAGATGAGGAAAGAGTCCAAGAACTGGGCGCTCCAACATCAACATCAAGGTGAAGAGGAGGAATGGGCAAATGAATGAGGGTGACAAGCCAGGGAGGGAGGGAGGAAGAAAACCAGGAGAGCGTCATATCCCAGAAGGCAAAGAAGAAAGTATTTCAGGGGGATTAATCATGTCATGGAGATGGTGACAGGTCACAGAGATGAGAACAGAAAAATGATCATTGTGTTTAGCAGCACAGGTCATTCATGGACTGTGTGAATTATTTCCGTTTTGTAAACAATTTCCTCCTATCTCCTAGCCTTGCTAGGGCTGATTCATGGGGCCGTACATCAGACAGGGTCTTGCTTTGTAGAGCTTATCAGCTGGCAAGAAATGAGTGATCATTTAATAATCCTATTTAATATCCGTCAAAGATCTATCTTTGGGACCTACAGCAGGTCAGTTATATAAAGAATGTGTTTGCTTTTGCTGTTCATTATCAATGACTTATTTTTAAGAGCAAAAAAATCTAACAGATACGCATTTAAATTGTCTGAGAAATCTGTATTTCCTCTCCGAGTTTCTCCTGTTTCCCATCTGGCTTTGGGCACGTATTTTGGGTAATCTCGGGGGACAGAAATAAAGTATTAAGGTCCATGGTGATATTCTGTTACCTGTGTGTAATTTTCTCTAAATTGGTTTTTTCTCTCCCAGATATTGATCTTCCAGTGTTCTTTGTTCCCTTCTTTCTTTGGTCCCAATTTTCATCTTTTCCCCTTCTCACAGAGTCATGATAAAAGGAAGGGGACTTGCAGAATTTCTGCCTCTTCAAATTTCTGGCTCTTGCTACAACAGCATGGCGTGGCATTAGCAGTGTTTAAGAATGATGTTCAGTATCACTATTGATATAACTGCCTATAACGGGAGAACAGAATATGTGTTAAAGCCCTTGGCACATTGCCAATAACATCCTGAACACAAATGAAATCCTATTGTACGTTCCCAGCCTGTTTGCAATCTAACAAGAGTTGTGGTCATGTTATTTCAGAGAATCCATAAGTTGTTAGTGTTTATTGCTCACCTATCATCTCATAGCCAGTGTATGATTAAGTTACTCCCACCCCCTGTGTAAGCAGCAGAACTCTGATGTGTGATGCTTCTTTGCTTTTTAATGAGGAACTCCGTGGTACTGCGTATGGTCATTCAACTTCCAACTGACGCAATTGCTGGTATTTATATAAGCATTCATTGTGGCAAACTTACTGTGTAACTTCTGTGCTGCTGCTTATCGATTTTAAGTTGATGAAATATTTTTTCTCATTTATTTTTAGGGTTATCATCGACCCAATCATTATATTGCTACCCAAGGTAAGTCTATTACAGCTTTGATGTCTTTCTTTGGTTGTTTGCCCATTCTCTATCATTTTGTCCCTGTGCCACACCTCCCCCCAAGAATGATATTCCACACTGCTGTAGCCCCACTTATTATAGTTCTCATCATCAATACCCCCCTTGTTTTCCCATCAGAAGGTCTGGTAATACAAACATTTAGCTAGAACTCCATGTTGTGATCATTAGAAGAAGTGTATTCATCAATTCATTATTAAATTAAATCTGTCTACCTTAGGAATTAATCTGACATCTTCATAAATAGGTATATAGATATTCACTAAATAAGTATGTGCTGAGAATTATCTATACAAAGACCCATGCTAGTTGCTGCCAGGGGTGCAGGCTGAATCCATCAAGCACCCCCTCTCATGATGGTTGTGGTTTGGTGGGGAAGGGACAGGGTGCCCTGTACATTGTTACAAGCAACACCAGTTAGAAATTTGTGTGAGAGGTTCAGAGAAAATGTTAGAGAAACTTGGAGAAGATAGAAGTTGCTTTCAGATGGGATGATCCAAAAACTGCTTTGTGGCAGAGGTGGGCTTGGGAAGAGAACTTCTGACTGGCAGAGACATGAGCAAAGATCTGAAAGCAGGCAGTTAGTGCTCCCAGGTGGAAAGCAGTTGGTAGATCACTTGGGCTAAAGGAAACCTAGAGGAACTTGTTGGAGAAGCTCATGGCAACAGCTTCTGTATCATCCTCCCGGGACACTGACTCTGAGGTGGGTCATCTATGGAGAATGAGGATCGTGGAAGGTCTGAGGTGTTGGGAAAGAGGCATCATAAGGGATGTGTTAGTGCATCTGTTAGATGAGTCAAAGAAATGCTGAGAAGCAGGGAGGACCCAGTTAGGGTCGAGAGAGTACATTCTCTTCATTTTATTATTTTATCATTGTTTCCAGTATTGCGTTATATCCCAGAAACAGGAGCAGGGAAATCAAAAGGATATGACTTGCCAATGGTTAGGGATTGGCAGGGGTTGCCCAACAGAATATCAAGGAGCAAGAGAATAAAGGATGCCAAGAAAATCATGGCTAAAAAGTCTAGGCTTAGAGGCAGGAGGGTTGGAGGTGTTTGATGGACCACAAGAGGAAAGAAGTAGCTAAAGGACCAAGGTCAGGTTCAGTTAATGAGTCATAGGTTGTAGCCAGTGAGCAGAATGCCAACACTTAGAGCAGCACTATCCAGTAGAACTCTCTGTAATGGTGGAAATCTTCCATATCTGTGCTGATTGATATGGTAGCCACCAGTAGATACTCAAAAAGTATCTATTGTGAATGAAGAACTGAGTTTTAGATTTTAGTATTGATTTAAATAGCTTCATTTGACTATCCCCTACTGGTAGTTTTGGACAGCAGAGCTCTGGGGCAGAAACCTCCAAATGTGGCTGAAATGGAGCCACCGTGGGGCCTTGTCCTCCTAATCCTGACAGTCTTGGCCAGAACCTGGGTGGCACCATACAGAGTCCACAGTCTCATGTCACCATTTGTGATTCTACACCTGGGTTTAGGCGGCCTACTTAACCTCCAGCATGTTTCCTCCTCTGAAATGAAATGAGTAATGGCTCCTTCCAGGGTCACTTGGCTAGTCAGAAGAAAGGTCACATGGAGCATGCCCAGCTGGAACCTGACAGGAAGCAGACCCTTATAGGAGTTGCTAAGGTCTTAAGAGAGCGAGCACCTGGCGCAAACTCTTACCTGATGGGACAGAACGAGGATGTGTGTCCAGGGCCTCTGAGTCCAGTCCTGGTTGCCTTCTCCTATACCCTGCTTCTTCCATGCTGAATCAATCGATGCTTTCAAAGGAACCCTTTGTTAGTTCCTTAAAAACCTGCTAATGGATTCCAGAATATTCTAAAGTAAGCGTCATAACAGATCTGATTTAATAAATTTGATGATAACTTGGAATTAGCAGTTTTTATAAATGTATGTGAACATTTGATCATAAAATACACAAAATACTAAGTTCCTGATTATCAGCCCATGTTTTCACAAACAGCACGAACCTAAAGTTAAATCTTATTTGAATTTTCAAAATTGAGGACCTCTAGATTACTGTGACTAAACAGCCAGCCAAAGTAGAGATTAAAACCCCCAGAGTCCTTTGCGATGCCCCTCACCTGGCATTTCTTCATTCATCCTCTCTGCCCCTCTTGCCCCGAGGGAGATCATGCTTTGAAGAAAACTGCCATTAGAGAAGTTACTTTCTGGTGCCTTCAGAATTCATCTAAATCATACTTAATTGTTCAGTAGCCCTCTTTGGGAGCATTCAACCTATCAAGTGTTAATGAGTAAATACATTTGTTGGCAGCTAAGAAATGGCAAATGTAATCACTTTGAGGTAGACCACCCATGTACCCTTAATGGAAAAGGATGCTACATAATGCCATTTGCCAGAGCATGGCACCTTTCCTGGCATGGGATGGTCTACAGATTGCACTTGGAAAACTGGCAGTACTTATATCACTGCTGGTGGTGCAGGGGGAGGGGCAGAAATGAGCAAATTTGATTTTTTTTTTTTGAGAGAGAGAAAGAGTGCAAGCAGGGAAAGGGGCAGAGGATAGAGGGAAAGGGGGAGAAGCAGACTCCCCGCTGAGTGCAGAGCCTGATGTGGGGCTCGATCCCACAACCCTGAGATCATGACCTGAGCCAAAATCAAGAGTCAGACGCTCAACTGAGTCACCCAGGCCCCAAGAAATGAGCAGATATTTTAAGTCTAACATTCAGTCAAGACAGTACACATCCTGTTAAGAGTAATACATTCAGACCATGAGGTCTGGGTTCAAAAGTTAGAATCTCTTTTCTAGTTTGTTACACAAACATAATGGAACTGTTAGCCTCAGATTGCCAGAGGATTTTTGATCCTCTGCAGTAATTGGCGCAGAGAGGTAGAACATGCCCATGGATTGCCTTCATAAAGAAACAAAAACCACAAATGTCTGATTCTAAGAATCTAACAAAATGGGTGATAAAGCAGATGCAATTTGAAAATCTCTCCTTGCTCTGTTTCTTTCCTAGTGTGCACTGATACAATTCTTTAAAACCTATTCATAGCAGGAACCCACAAAACTACATGAACAGTCCAGTTTACTGACAACCAGCTTTATTCCCAATAGTTTAAAATACGTAGATTTTCACCAAGTCCCTTCAATCTAGAAGACATGTCCTGAATTTATCTCTTCGATCCCTTCCTCCCCCACCTCAACTTTATTGATTTTTGTACCAGTAACTGACTTTGACCTTTGATGATAACAGTCATGTTTCTACAAATTGAAGGGACCACAATCAAGCCAGATCTGTGGCTTTTTTAATGTGTTCTTCCTGCCCACCCCCACTCTGTTTAATTGTTTTCCATCTGCAGCTAATGTGTCGATGACCCAGTATTCATTTCATCACACCTGCCTGACCAGCCGCTAATACAATTGTAACATTCAGGATTTATGATTTGGCACACCAGGAATCAGAGAAGAGGAAGTCATGTCTGTTACTGCATGTCTGTACTCAGAGTGGGGATTTCAAAAGCAGGGCTCACGGTGAGGGGCAGATGAGTACGCAGGTGGGTAGGATTGCCCAGAACCGATCATATTTCACAATCAAAAGATACCCCATGGAGACCCCAGTGTGGGCCACGAGCTGGAGGAAGCTGCACACATTTGGAATCACTCCTCCAAGATGATTCAGGAGAACACCTGCCGGCCATGTGGTTTGCAAATGAGGGGGGCCTGGAGAAGTGTTCTTTTTATGATTGTTTGGTTTTATTTTTAAAAATGACTTCAAGAGTCCTGCTTTAGAAACCTCTTCATTCATCCTCTCTGCCCCTCTTGCCCCGAGGGAGATCATGCTTTGAAGCATGTTAATAAATTTGAGCTAGTTGAGGAAGGAAACGCTGTCAGTCTGTGATGGACATGTCCTCCCAGCACCCAGCTCCTCTTCCTCACAACCCCGCTCATGTGTGGGCTGGAGGGGGGCTTGAAGATCGGCAGATCCCTCCAGAGGAACTTGCCTGTCATTCCCTCAGGGGAGCCAACGTACATCATGAAATGTGGAGGGCATGTCACAGTCATGTGGTGGTGCCTCAGCACTTGACTGCCATTTCTCGGAGCCAGAGAAGGGGTAAAGAGCATCAGTGGGGTGAGTGGAGGAGGTACGTCTTCAGCTAGCCTTGAAGGAGGGCTCCTGTGTCAGACAATAGAGGACGGGATGAACGGCAGGACTACCAAGGTCAGGGAGGCGCACGGAGCCCTGGCAGAGGGCATGAGGGAGACCAGACTGAAGATAGGAAGGGTCTTCACCTCCGTGGTATCTTGGGTCCTCTGGGTTGCTTGTTGAAATGGATCTTCTCTCAGGAAAAACTCACACATACACACGATTTTATATAGACATTCAGGCATTCATAGACAATAAAATCTAATCTGAAAAATTTCTACATCCCAGATTTAAGAAAAAAAAAAAAAAGCCTTGAGTTAGATGGGTAAGAAAAACTGGCAGGTAAGGTGAGGACATTGGTTTAAAGGCTGTGATGAAGAGTGTTATTTAATGAAAGGAAGAAAGGCGAGGGGTGGGAGGGCACCTGGGTGGCTCAGTCGTTAAGCATCTCCCTTTGGCTCAGGTCATGATCCCGGGGTCCTGGGATCAAGCCCTGCATTGGGCTCCCTGTTCTGCAGGAAGCCTGCTCCCTCTCCCACTCCCCCTGCTGTGTTCCCTCTCTTGCTGTGTCTCTCTCTGTCAAATAAATAAATAAATAAATAAAATCTTTTTAAAAAAAGGGGACAGAGAGGGTAGAAGAGACATGACAGAGAGCCATGTGGTGGTGAAAACAGTGCTTTAAGATGATTAGTTAGGGGGCACCTAGATGGCATAGTCAGTTAAGGGTCTGACTCTTGATTTCGGCTCAGGTCATGAGCTCAAGGTCATGAAATCGAGCCACGCATTGGGCTCTCTGCAGGGTGTGGAGCTTGCTCAAGATTCTCTCTCTCTCTTTCTCTCAAAAAAAAAAAAAAGGATTAGTTAGTATGGAATTATCCTTTAGAGAAAACTGGAAACAAAGGTAACCGGGAATAACCACACACAAAAAAAAATCTGGGGTACAAACAAATAATTCAGACAACAGTAATGACAGTGAGGCAGTTGTAGCTTTTATTCAATAATCTAAGTTGCCGGGGGAGGGAGGGAGGAAAAGATGGCAGAGGAGTGGGGGACCCTATTCCAACTGGTCCACGAAAATGAGGGCTGGATATCTACCAGACCACTCTGAACACCAATGAAATCAGCCTGAGATGTAAGCAGATATATCTGGATCTCTACAAACAGAATATCACAGGCGGTTGGTTTCGAGGTATGAAGTGGGGAGCCATGATTCCTTGGGCAGATATCCGAAGATAAATGGAAGGGGGAGGGAGCCCTGGCGATCCTACACCTCTGGTGAGCGATAGCCTCCCGTGCCAGGGACAGGACACAGAGTTGCAGACTGGTAGCAGTGAAAGGACTTTAGGGCAGCCACCCAGAATGAAACCAGAGCAGCAGGGCCACACATGCGAACTGGGGGCAGCTGGCGGTTTTAGAAGCACAAAGGGCAGAGACATGCCCTACCTGAAAGCAAGGACTGGGAGCGCTGCTGAGGGGCGCACAACCCAGGACGCTGCAGTTTATAGCAGCACAGACAGAAACAGAGATAATGTGGCCTGGAGAGCTCACTGAAGAACAGACTGTGATCTCTCTGCTCTGAGGCAGAGGGTTGGAAATGGTCTCTTCTGCTCTGACTCACAGAAGAGATGCAGAAAGCCGCCAGGAAAAGGTGCCAGAGAACAAAAGCCCCAAAAAACTGGTTTCCACTGAGCGCATCCCCCACCACAGGGGGCAGGGCAACTCCGCCCAAACAGGGTTGCCTGAGTAACAGTGCGGCAGTCCCCTCCTGCAGAACACAGGCGGGGAGAACAAGAAGCCCCCAACCCTAAGGTTCCCATAAAACAGGTGCAACTTGCTTCGGTTGTGATCAATAATTTCGACTCTATACATTCCCTCAACCACCCCTCAACAGAATGACTAGGAGGAGGAACCCCCAAATAGGAAAGACTTGAGAGACTGTAACTTCTGCCACAGATTTACAAATGGATACATATATAACCAAGATGTCAGAAATGGAATTCAGGGTAGCAGTTGTGAAGACAATAGCTAGAATGGAGAAATCGATTAATGGCAACATAGAGTCTCTAAGGGCAGAAATGAAAGCTGAACTGGCAGAACTTAAAAATGCTATCAATGAGATCCAATCTAATCTAGATAATCTAACAGCTAGGGTAAGCGAGGCAGAAGAACGAATTAGTGATCTAGAAGCCCAATTGATAGAAAAGAAGGATAAAGAGGCCAGGGAGAAACAACTCAAAATCCATGAAAACAGAATCAGAGAAATAAGTGACACCATGAAACGTTCCAATGTCAGAATTATTGGGATACCTGAGGGGGTGGAGAGAGAGGACTAGAAGATATACTTGAGCAAATCGTAGCTGAGAACTTCCCTAATCTGGGGAATGAAACAAACATTCGTGTCTTAGAGGTGGGAAGGACGCCTCCCAAGATCAAGGAAAACAGGCCAACACCCCGGCATGTAATAGTAAAACTTGCAAATCTTAGAACCAAGGAAACCATCTTAAGGGCAGTGAGGGGGAAGAGATTCCTTATGTACAGAG